ACCAATTGATGGAACCGCAACAAGACACCGCAATTCACTACTGTAAAACGTGTAAAAGGTCTATCCTGGAATTGTTTTTGAAAAGGGCAAAATTCTTAGCAAAATATGTCGCAAAACATATTGAGATGAAACTTTATATCCAATTAACTATACATGTCAAAAAACCCCAACAATATGGCCAGTGTATAGACCAAGGGCACCAACTTACCGTATACGATGATAATACCGTCACGATACTACAACGTTTTCGTTAGTCGTGTAGGCGACGACTGGTACCTAATCTTAAAATACATTATGATGTGGTTGCGAAATTATCTACATTTAGACGATTTTGTGTTTGCCATTTTTTCCACATGTCTGGCCCTCGGAGGTGTGTCCAAATGCCGGAGAACAGCCCGCAAGGTTTCTCCCATCTTTTAGTGTCGCTCAAGATAATTACGTGCTGGCCAGGATATGGCTTCTTTAGATGAGATAATGACGTAAACACACAGATGACCCAATTACACCGACTGTCCATGACTTGGGAGTCCTGAAGCCCTAGATGTAATGATACGTGTGTCTATACCGCTACATAGACCTAACTCTACATTTTGATTCGATATTTAACGTTAATGATCGAATAAAGTATCTCTTCACCGGTGTAAAGAGTGGAATACATCACAGTTGATTAACTCATGTCATTCTTATCTATAGTTTGAGCACAGCCAGCAATGAGCGGGTAGATCGGTCCTTATGTCGCCAAGGACTCTGTATTTTTCCAAAATTTACCAATTTTTCGCTGAATCTACCTTTAGCTATAGCATATTGGTGGAAATTGAAATTCGTGAAAGAAAACAGTAGCATGAATTATTGATATAAAAGTTCCATATATTGATATATGATGAAACAATGACATTTGAAATTATATTTGAAATATACAGTCTAATAATGGATGTACTGGCATCTGGCTATATCCGGTCTTTAACGCTCTTAAATATGCTGACGTTGTTGAAATAAATTTATTCAATAATAGATATTCTATATAAGATTTTATGTCAAGTTACATACTTACAATAAATGATTGGATACGTGCTTCTTTGCATATTGAATCATAGGTATATATATAAATGAATAGCCATACGTTTTCCGTTGAATATCCTTTATATTTCACGAGAACGGCAGAGTGGTGGCACACTCGTGAAAACATTGAAGTCTTCTTCTAAACTAGTGAAATATGAGTGATATCACACACAAAACCATCAACGATTTCGTTAATTTTGTTTTTAGATCTTTAAAATGATCTTTGACATGCTATTGATATGAAATATAGGGTAACAGTCTACCGAACAATTGTCGAAGATTTTGTGATTGTGATCGAAAAAGTAAACGATTGTTACGAATCAAAAACTATTTCACTGTTCTAGGTGAGTGAGTTTTGTCTTTACGGCTGTAAGTGTGAATTTCTTTTTTACAATAAATTTAAATGAACTCGGAATTTTCGAAATTCCTTCACTTTTCAAAATTCCTGCACGAGCTCAGGTAAGGCGAAACCAAGTATGGTGTGATTAAGTTATTACAAAATTCAGTTGTAAGAACATCAAATCACAGTAATCGTATAATCGTATTATATCGAAAAACAATAAATATAGAGTAGTAAACAAAATAAACTACTCAACACACCAACACATGGTATACAGATCAAATAGTTCAATACGTAATTCGTAGTATTAAGAACAAATGTTCAAAACAGCAGATATACACCAATACACATCGGATTAAAAAAAGGAATATCAACACACAAATGATAGTATTCAAAACAAATACACAAGCAACAGATATACATGTACACCAATACACATCGAATTAAAAAAAGAACAAGCATTTCATCACACAAATTGTAGTCTACTGAACAAATATACAAGCAGCAGATATACATGTACACCAATACACATCGAATTAAAAAAAGAACAAGCATTTCATCACACAAATTGTAGTCTACTGAACAAACATCAACAGCGGAATACTATTTCGCTGTTTATGCTGTGAAGAATCCATATGCCGTGTCATTTCCAACACATACGGTCATACCGACAACGAGTGACTAATAACACATGCATCTCGTTAGATATAAAACGATAATCATTGACTACAATTAACTTAATGCTGACCAGGTTAGAGAACGAATGCCAACTAATCACATTTCTTTGGTTTTAAATCAGCCGAATAATTGTAAATTATCCGTGGAGAGTTACCGTCGCGGTATGTTAGGGGTGATTGCTAGCGCGCGTGGCCCGCTCCAGGTCCACAAAGACAAGTCTGGTCTTCTTAAAGACAGTTTCACGACTTTCAGTGTAATATCTATATTGTCAGTCTGGGTCTGAAGAAAAGTCAGTAGTATGATAGGGTGAAAATATAAGATGGGACATCTTTGTTATCATACAGATATATATACAACCGATTTTGTTCATACCTTAACTTTGTAATCATGTAACTTTCAGTTTGGCTAAGCTAATCTGTACCTCGTCAAACAAGTTATCGGCATGTTCATTTAACATAAAATATAGCTGTGTCATTGAGTACTTTACTATGCCACCATCTTAATGCTGTTGACACATCATGAAACAAACACGGGTGTTAGATTATTTATATATCTCCATACTAGCGAAAGTGGTTTGAGGGTTAGAATAATAAACAGTTATTCAAAATGATTCCAATATTTCAAGTCAAATGAACCTCTTCATATTTGCGTGGTTTGAGATCTGAACAAACTTGTAAACTGATTTTTTTTTTCACATTTCTTATAATTTATCTACTTTAATCGCCGAATCATACAAAATAAATAAAAATCACGAATATGATATGTGGTTGATGTATCAATCAATTACTTTTTATGACATCTACTAGAAACTAGTTTCAGGGCCGTTTTCCTCGTGCGTAATAGTTGTTTACGTCGTGCGATAATTTTAGTACCCACATGGACATGCTGACTTTTGTTTTTCAAACGTTCAGACTAAGCTGGAATAATGAACTGATACATGAATGGTAAAACTAGGTAAACTCTTGTATTCTTGCAATAAATCATTAATCCCGCCGTACATGAATGATAGCATAGCAGATGTCATGTAGCATAAAAGAGCACTCAGTATAAGACACCATTATTTGTAGCAGAAATTTGCTAGTTCATGTTTCATGTCACATTGACATTATCATGTTGATACTTTACAGACTTTGGGACTATTAATTGATAGAATTGATAAATAAACGAAAACACACACACGCACAGAAGCAAATGTTTAGTTGTAAAGAGCTGGATGACATTGTGGCGTTTAAAGGGACATTGTATTAAATTCGGCGACAAATTACATGTACATGATCAAATACGACTTTTGACATATACGACAAACACACGCATGGGCCGAGAAAGGCATACCAGAAGTGATGTGGTTTTATTGTTCCTTTCGCTTCAGATGTTCAGATGCATTTCACAAAAAATGTCACATTTCCAGATGATCTAGACGCACTAAAACGATGAGGAATTTGATTAGCTATTTAGAGACAAAAACACAGCGGAGTATCAATTTATTCTGCATTGTATCAGACTATACGGCAATAAAACCCAGCGAATCTCTCCATTTATCATAACAATGATACTACAAACATTCATCTACACATCTGTACCATCTGGCTGTATCAAACACACACGATAGTCTACTGTGTATCGAGTAGTATACATAAGGTTGGCTCTCTGATTGCGTGTCTGGGGTTATCCCCCGTGTCTATCGTATGTAAATTTGTTTAGACGGAATGTTGTGTGGTTCCCTCGGGATGTATATGAGGCATGTTTTTTTATTATCCGACTTCAGTAGATTTTGACTCCCACATGTCGGGTTTGTGATCTGCATCGCTGTATGTCACGCATTTAGGTGTGAACAGGGAAAAGACGGCTCGTTTTTGTGCGTAGTGTTGCCAGTCTATGTAACGTCCAGACCCCTTGATGTATTCTTGTATCTGTAATACAGACTGTAGTTTATCTGTCTGTGCTATACTTGTATCTAAAGGATTCACAGGACACTGCAGTTTTATCGGTCAATGCAATTGTCTGTTTCCTGTTCATTGTATTCTAGTAACTGTAATATATATTGTAATTCCAACGGTCTGTGTAAAATGTACTACCCCCTCCCATGCTGCTGTAAAGTCAAATCTGTAATAAGCATTTTCCATTGTAATTTTACCTGTCGATGTAATGTCATACCCCAGTGATGCTGTATTCTAGAACAACGTATCTGTGGTATTCACTGCAGTTTTAACGTTCCGTTCTTATATCTGTAATGTACGTTATTGAAAGGGTCATCATTAGTCGTTTCTTACGGCATTGGCGTACAGCAGGCCTATTCTGTCCCCGATCAAACAAAAATGTTAACAGAGATATATTAGTTTGGATATGACGAATAAACAATCTAAAATGAAGAAAGACTTGTATGTAATGTAGTTCCGTTTGTACAGCACGTGACAGGACTGCGTAGTGATATTTCACGCGCACATTCAAGTGGAATAACGTGTCTTATGTATCCTGAAAGTACTAAACAAACTGTAGGAGGTCTAAAATCTAATAGGTTATGTTTCTGCTGAAAGTTATTTTTCAGAGGTATGGGAAAGTAAAGTATTGTATACCGTCGTATCAATGTACATGTAGCATCGGAGTGATGTGCTAAACATGACAAATACTTCTCTAACAGTTAAGGAGGAATCCATGTTGTACCAAACTCAGTTATTAATGCACAATTAATGTCAAAATTAATTACACCAAGATCAAATTGATAACAACACGAGACACATTAACAAAACAAGAGAAGACAACCCTGTATTTGATAACGAGACATACTTACCAAACAACAAGGGAGTACAACCCTACATCCGATAACGGAACGATATGCATAAAGCAAACAACAAGAGAAGGTAACTCTATATTTAATATAAGACTTAATCATATTATTTATTGAGATGTATTTCTTTAATTCCAGCATCATATGAAAAATTATTCAATCGAATTCCAAATCACGTAGTGACATTTGAACATAAACGGAAAATTCCGGATCTCACAGTAGAAGAATGTGCACGACGATGTGTTTTAGAAGTGAACTTCCGGTGTCAGGGATTCGATTACGAGGTTCGACAGAGAAATTGTTGGTTGTCTGACCTCACACCTAAAGATTCGGGGGGAGTGATTGTCCTACCTGGGACCGACTTTTACGAAAGAATATCAAGTAAGTAGAATGATATATATATTTGACGCTTAAAATGTGCCAAAATATTTGCAGCTATGTTAGTTGTTTTGTTTATTGAATAAGAGAGAATGTCACCTCCCATCAGGAATTAAAACTAGATAAAAAAATAAATAATCACCACCGAATCATTATTATATTCCAGTTTTCATGTACAAGGGTAAACAACCTAGTTACATCTCTATTAAATATGTAAGTAATTTCTTAATTTTGTTATTTTGCTATATTTCAGATGGCCCTATGGAAAAGTTTGTTAATTTCGGGTATGGAACTTTACAGCAGATTGAAGGAATACAAGTTTACAATAAAATTATACTTGGCGTTACGTTAGACGCATGCGCACAGTTGTGTTTGGCAGAAATTTCCTTTCGGTGTTACAGTTTTGATTTTATATTCAATGACGATTCGTGCCACATGAGTCAGTATATAGCTGCCAACGTTCACGGGATTAGCACGACATTCTCTGAAGATTTCAAGGCGATGCATTTTGAGCTCAAAGGTAAGAATGACGTAGAGCCTGATTCATTATTACAGGAAACGTTCCTTTTCAGGTAAAATACATTGATCTGTGAATTTATTAATTAACCTAATCGTTGAATATATATTTGTTACGCATTTGCAAATTCGATTAATTCAAATGCATATTTTTCGCGATAATGAAATGAAATATATACTATATAAGTATTCATTCTAAGGTAATAAGAATGAGCAACTCCTGGTCGACAAAGACGATCATTGTCACTCTTCCAACAGCTTCGAACATTGTTACTTTCGTTGATCTTTGTAACAAATATTCTATCAATCTCCTAGGACGATCGATATGGTGTGTAGTTAAAAAATGAGACACTTTACCTCTTTGGTATCAAAAATACTTCCGCACTGTTTCAATATCATGCTTCCTTTTGGCAGTTAATTTCGTGTATATGAACATATTGCACCCTTCTGATTGACAAGCTGCTCCGTACCATGTCAAGCAAGTTATGTCTATGTTTAGTATATTTGAATTGCAATTATAATTCGTTGAATAATTCATTATTTTACTTTGCCGAAGGCTCTTTGCATATCATGAAACGACTACCCGTGTGAAATTATCTTAACATTACGGTGTGTCTTGTAATTTGTCATCGCTACGTAACAGAAAAAGAATTGATCATTTGGAAAATGATAAGAAAAAACACCTATGATGTATGTAAAGTTATTCAATAATATATCACGTTAAACTTTACAAGAACGACCTATATATCAACTCGAGCTCTTTTTACTATCCCTATGATTGCTCCTGCCCTTTTTAACTAATGGCGTTTGATCTCCGACCAAAAATGAATATATATTTGCTTAAGAGTTGTACGTTTTAATGCCATCAATATTAATTCGTCAATACAAGCCAAAATCGACCGTAGCCGTGTAGTGATAGAGTTTCTAAATTACACAAAGTCGTCAAAATGAGTATAGTGAGGGAAATCAGGAAAACTCCCCACTCCAAAAAGGCGATTGACTGCAGGATATATCGTTGCAAAAAATATAGGAACAAATATTAACAAGACTTATAGATTGTAATTCAATGTGGTGACTCATAATTACTGGCCGTCGTTAAATGGGTTTAGCAGTGATACATTGTATGTTGCTACCATCAGTGGACACCGATGTCCATTGAAAGACGTTCTTGTGAATCAATAATTTTGAGCAAAAGTGGCAAGTACATTTTATTGCTAGAAATTACTGGTATTGCAGTATAAATCTAAAATGATACTATGGAATGATATGTACATCGTCATTAATTCTTATGCTGTTAAGATTAGTATTTAAATCTCCTAAAAATAATGTTATTAACAGAAAATATAACTTTCTAAATCACTGAGTATTCGACAAGACACGTTTGATTTCTAACGCAAGTTGTCACAGACGACACCTTTAGGCCAAGCTCTTCTTAGTGCTTATCGAAATGATTATGATGGTCGTTATCGCAAGCTATGACCATATCGAGCATCATTACAAGGTTGAACTGACCGTAATGGACATTGTATCACGGACAGTTACTAACACTGTAGCACGGAAAAATTGCAGTATTGAACGTCATCTGAATTGGTAAAACGTAGGGCCGTGATTTGGTAGCGCTGGCTGGCCTTTAGAGCGACATATCGGGCGGGCAGTTAATAAATTACACAGTCCGTCCTCTGATGAACTTGTAGTATAAGTCAGACAACCTTAATTATAAGTTCCCACAAATCACCACCGGACGTCTGTCCATCTCCCTCGCAGATATTTAACGTGTACTCTTGTCTACTGGTCATTTATAAAGGAAGAATGCGGCCAGTACACAAAGAGAGAAAATTACAATTTGGGTAGGCAAGGAATGAGCCGAATCCTTTTCAATATCCAAGTTTTGTTCGTGATAAGAATCGTGAGCATGCAGCACTAGGTGTACAAACGTATACTACATTAACACTGTTTGGCGTACTTCTAGACGAGATAAACAAACATAACTCAACCATATTCAAGAAGACGTACAAAAACAGAAATAAACTATTATCTAGTTGATATTTGAAATTGACGTCAGTATTCCATCGAAATAACATTAGATTAATCTCAGCACAAATATTAAATAAAACGAGATTATTTTGTTGATTTGTCGCCGATTTTTAAAATCAACAACGGGTTATGAGTCAGATATTGTGAATGTATGAGGAATGTACATTTTTTTAATTTGTTATAAAATATAATTACACGTGACAATCATATCTATAAACCATGTTTTATACCAGTGTATATCGTAATGCTGTGTATGATATCTGTAGACCATGCTAGACAGTACTAAAACAACTATAAGTAGTGGGATTTCTAAGCTGTAATACTCCAGAAATTGCTCGTGTATTAATGAAGTTTTGATCAGAAGAGAAAAAGGATGTTTTTCTTGTAAGTACGACTTAAATATATTTTACTTCCATTTATTTTCCATACAAAATATCACACACTTATTCAGATTAATATATCTGTACGTAATTAGATGACAGGCAAAGGTCAATATGTCTATTTTAATTAACTGTCTCTTTGACTTCGCATTTATAATGTAAACATTTGATACATTTACCACAGGGTGGGTAGTTCGGTAAGAGGGAGTGTAAATCAGTAAAAGTGACAAAATACGGAGACGGTTACAGGCGAAACCTTAATTGTATTACACGTGTCTACAGGGATGCTGAAAGTCGTATATAAAGCCGAAACGTGTCACTGAAATTGTGTGACATTGATATACGTATCTAACTTTTTCTCTCTCTCTTTCCCGGATATACTGTATACTGAAAGAAAATCAAGCATAATGTACTTAAATGCGAAGTGCGGAAACACTTTTTTTTATATATTTTAACCTGTCAATGCAAAAAGTAAAACAAAGTAAACCTTTACTGTATCTTATGGTAATTTGGTACCATACATGTAGGTCAAAAAGGAAAAGATATGCCTAAAGTGGCCCGAAGAAATAAAATGTATGTAGAATACAGCGAAAATATAAAGTTGCCTATATAACTCTTTATAACGTTAGCAATTTACAATTTATGTCTGCAAAAGAAACTCAAAGTAAACTAAAACCATACAGAGTCATACGGTAAAGTAGTGGTAAACGGTTGGTGTATCCAGGGAGACACGGAAGTCACTAGGACCTGACAGAGCCATACGGTAGCGTAGTGGTAAACGGTTGGTGTATCCAGGGAGACACGGAAGTCACTAGGACCTGACAGAGCCATACGGTAGCGTAGTGGTAAACGGTTGGTGTATCCAGGGAGACAAGGAAGTCAATAGGACCATACAGAGCCATACGGTAGAGTAGTGGTAAACGGTTGGCGTATCCAGGGAGACAAGGAAGTAACTCAGACCATAAAGAGCCATACGGTAGAGTAATGGGAAACGGTTGGTGTATCCAGGGAGACAAGGAAGTCAGTAGGACCATACAGAGCCATACGTTAGAGTAGATGTAAACGGTTGGTGTATCCAGGGAGACAAGGAAGTCACTAGGACCATACAGAGCCATAAGAGAGAGTAGTGGTAAACGGTTGGTGTATCCAGGGAGACACGGAAGTCACTAGGACCTGACAGAGCCATACGGTAGCGTAGTGGTAAACGGTTGGTGTATCCAGGGAGACACGGCAGTCACTAGGACCATACAGAGCCATACGGTAGAGTAGTGGTAAACGGTTGGCGTATCCAGGGAGACAAGGAAGTAACTCAGACCATAAAGAGCCATACGGTAGAGTAATGGGAAACGGTTGGTGTATCCAGGGAGACAAGGAAGTAACTCAGACCATAAAGAGCCATACGGTAGAGTAATGGGAAACGGTTGGTGTATCCAGGGAGACAAGGAAGTAACTCAGACCATCCAGAGCCATACGGTAGAGTAGTGGTAAACGGTTGGCGTATCCAGGGAGACAAGGAAGTAACTCAGACCATACAGAACCATACGGTAGAGTAGTGGTAAACGGTTGGTGTATCCAGGGAGACACGGCAGTCACTAGGACCATACAGAGCCATACGTTAGAGTAGATGTAAACGGTTGGTGTATCCAGGGAGACAAGGAAGTAACTCAGACCATACAGAGCCATACGGGAGAGTAGTGGTAAACGGTTGGCGTATCCAGGGAGACAAGGAAGTAACTCAGACCATACAGAGCCATACGTTAGAGTAGTGGTAAACGGTTGGTGTATCCAGGGAGACAATTAAGTAACTAAGACCATACAGAGCCATACGGTAGAGTAGTGGAAAACGGTTGGTGTATCCAGGGAGACAAGGAAGTAACTCAGACCATCCAGAGCCATACGGTAGAGTAGTGGTAAACGGTTGGTGTATACAGGGAGACAAGGAAATAACAATTTGTAGAAAAAGGGTAGGGAAGCAAAATACGGCGAATTGGCATGTACCTCTGTTCTGCTGAACCAAACTGATGCCAAAATGACAATGAGATCAGTTCGATATCACAGGCAAACCAATTTGTGCGTGAAAGACCTTATAAATGAACTGTTTTCGTTGACAAAAGACTCGGTTGAGAGTGACAAAGCAAGACGACCCTGGTACACTACAACCCACTAGATTGTTTTTGAGACGTTGTTAGAGACCTCCTCCAGACGTAGCGTTAAACAGATTCTGTATCTTGTTTGACGGAACCGCGGTTGGCTCCTAATTAGGTCTACAAACTCCACTTCTCCGCACTGGCAAGAAGAGCAACTCCTACGGCAGTGCATTCCACTAATTTGGTGTGTAGAACTCGACAAAGTGCTTTCTCATGTGCAGGAAATCGTGTCTTCGGGCTATCATTTGTACAAGATATATAAGCAAATAAAGAAAGAGAACATAGCAAGGCGATACAAGGGTTAAAGAATCGACTTGTCAATTGCAGCTGGCAGCAACACAACTTGTTATTGGCCACATCACTGCAGCGTTTACCGTGCAAAAATGGGTCTGTGGCAAAGGGCGTTTGCTTTAGTCGCGGTATTGTAGTTTCTTACCGTGATATTATGTATTGGCGATGCAATCTTTTAACGTCAGTTTTGTAGATAGCAAAGTATTACATACTATAAAGATCTTACTATGTTGGCAAAAAATTATAATAAGGCTGAATAAATAATTCCGAAAGGAGCACCGTAGAACCTCATTAGTCCACGAGTTTTCATAAAATGGAATACGAAAAGATTTTTTTAAAAGCAATCCTGTTTCTGAAGTATGTTTTCGTAAAACATATTTCTAGATTAACGATATTGCGCATACATTTGTATTTGTATTTCTTTGGTTTAACCAATATGTACGGCACTGTGGGCTTGTATGGTATGTTCCTGAAGTATGAGACGTCATTTGAATCTGTGATATGTGCTCTGGCATGAGACATATGGCGTGCATGCAGTGTCAGAAGTTGTGTGCCTGTTAGATAGAACATCACGTAAACCTGTGAACATGAGCGACATGAAACCCTGTAATATGGAACACAATATTACCTGTGATATAAAGAGGTAGATATTAATATCATATCCTAAACCAACCCTCGAATAATATCAGACCTCGAACCTTTGGCCATTCGGGATGATATAGGGTCTCGGGTCTGTATAGGGTAGGAAATTTGGAAATTGCAAAAGTATAACCTTTTTGTAACATGACATACAGTGTCAATAGAATAATACATAAAAAACACTTGTCAATTTTTTTATGTCGAGTGTGATTAATTTGTAGCAGGTTTTGCATGATGTAGAATAAGTTGCACCGGGCGTAGAACGGATATGGCGCGTGCAGGGTAGATAAAGGCGCGTGCCGAGCAGATATAGATCGGGCAGCGGAGGTAATGCCTTTCTTGTACAGATGTCAGCATTGCATATCAGAAATAAATTTATACGGTATCTGCCATTTTGAGAACTTATGATCTAGGATATGTTTACACAAGTTTGTGTCTGTGATATTTGATGTGTGAAATTGAACAATAAAATATGAGAATCTATCAATAAGATGGAAATAGAAGTGAAGTAGGTACAATGTCCTACAATTTCACAATAAATATTATACGTGACATATCAGTACCCTTTGCTATGTTATTTTGTGTACAAACGCTAAAACATTATTTATGATAATTGTATTATTGTAAAGAATGTTTATTGAATTTTCTATTTTATGAATATAAATACACAGTTGACAATGCGATCTTCTTTTCACTAAGTTATCATATGCTGAAAGCACTGAAATATTGAAATAAGTCGCAAACGTAGCGAACTAAATAGTGACGATATATATGCATGTTGTATGTAATGGTATGTCAGATAAAATAATTCTGGACAGTAGCGAGGCATGTGTCGGAAGTTCATTAGAGTGGCGCTGTAATTAGTTAAGTGTGTAAATGAGTAAGCTGTGTCGACAATCTCTGGAGATGTTCCGTGATTCTGATCGATGAATGTGTGTCAGATACCATCAGTACTATCCAGTATGTCATATACAAAGTCTGAAATATACAGGATGTCTTATGCATCTTGCCGTAGATCATACAAGGCATGCAGCCATTTATTATTTCCTTACGCACCAATAGCGCTTCAGCGGATGAGACAGAGTAGAGTATCACTTTACAACACCTGTTAAAATAATCCACACTTCGACTTCCACTTTTTATTTACATTCACTCGTTTTGAGTATTTTGCAACTTTTATAAATTAATAAGTCTGACGAGAAAAAAATGCGTGAAGCTGTTCACCTGAGTAATAAGTGAACATTTAGATGCTGATAAACCTGGTTCGTGAATGTTGTTAGGTAACCTCTGTGTACATGTACCGAGTCAACGTTGGTGGTTTGTTCATAGAGATGCATATCTTTAAGGATTAAAATATATCTTATAGAGATCAAATACAATTTTTATAGACACAAATTGATGATATTTGTTAAAAATCGCGAAATATTGCTATACATCACAAAAACGTACGTTTGATGTTTCTTTCTGTGTTTGTACTGTAATTTGTCGTCATAAAACTGAAACATTTACCACCTACAGCCTAAGGTCATTAAACTCGCCTTAAGGCTCGTAGATTCAATCAGACAAGTAGCCCTGTAAAAGAGGCAACAAAAGATTCAGACATCCTAACGCCAAGGCCATTTAATCTCCAATCAGTGTTGAGAATTTATTTACATCACATATTGAAAATGTAACGCCGTTTGGTTACAGAGGAAGCTTTCGAGAGCTTTGATTGGTACTAAAAACTTGTGTTAAAATGGAAGCGTTTTGATGAAGAAGACTTTAAAACATTCTGTCTCGACAATGAAGTGTATGGCGTATAATCTTGATATGATGCGAGTTTTGCTAAAATTACATTTTAAATTGTGCAAGTCGAGCATTTGTTATAAATGTTGTATTCAGTGTGTTCTAGATTGAGAAAAGGGAGGCGAGCGATAGCTCCCGATCACTATCAGTTCAAAGCAACGTGTGCAATTAGAGGGTAACACATTGATAAGCAGATAATAAAAGCGGTGTCTATTTGGTGCGTCGAATGATGTTGGTAAAAATAAAGCTGCTTTGTGTGCAATACGTTATAAAACGAACAATTGCATGTTTTATAACCTGTTAAAGTACATCAGATTTGTCCATCGATCTATTAAATTTACAACAAACTGATTGTAGTAAAGTTTTAACGAAAAATCACGGATCAAAAGATAAACAGTGCTTGTTCAATACACAAAAGGCAAACAGAATAAGACTTCAATATGACTTCAAAAATACTTTAAACATTGACTGAAAATACGAAATAAGGAACAACCAATTTAACAATTCACCGAAACGATACAGAAAGCAAAACAAAGGAATATTTACTGCACTATATGAGCATTTCGTCAATTTAGTTAGTACTCATCAGTGTACAAATATTTAACCCTATGGACGAGCGTTAACGGTCCTTCTTCAATGTTTCGTTTTGTTTTATTGAATGGCAATGGACCTTTCTTAATGTCTATTAATGTCGGTTTCTATTGTTGCTTAGCTCAACGCAAACTCCAACAGTTCTGACTTTTTCTGAAATAACAGTCTCAATTCATAATTATTTCTATCCATCCGCAATTTCATTTTACTCTTGTGTATATTCGTTCCGCTTTTTATGATGCGCTGTCGTAATTTTGTTATATCCCGTCATACGAGCGAGACTGATGAGGAAATTGATTACGAAGACGTGTGTGAACTGAAATGTGAAATTAAGGCAACTTGAGACTTTTTCTCGCGATGTTCAAACGAGTTTGATCTGATGAGAGATTCGCTTTCCATGTGTAGATGAAGTTTCCCGGTAATGCAATTTGTTTCAATATTCTCTCGATATCGATCTCTTCGTTCGCAAAAAGCATTTTGATAAAATGCATTCACTTCATGATAGCACAGTTGTGGCGGGAATTAAAACAATAAATAGTTCGTCTGCGAAGGTTTGTATTCCATTCAAAGCTAATGCTTTTAAAAGATAACTTATGTAACGATCAATTCTGAAAGGACGAAATTGAAGGGTAAGGTCATGAGTAATAATAGTTTCAATGCAAAGTTGTATGATTAGGAAATTCTTGATTAAATGCAAAACCCCAAACAAGTAAAAACAGAACAGAAAGTCATACAGTGTCAATTTACAAAGATCAGTCTGAGATACTATCTTAACATTTCTATTCGAAAAGTACATAGAGACCACAGTAACTTTTGGTGAACAGCAACGAAGGCGTGTGGATTCGACGAGCACGTGACAAAAGTGACATTACTATTAAACAAATATGACAACAACTGTCGAAAGTTTACACCGTATGTAAAAAGAACTAACGATTCTATCTCGTGTCGAACTACGAAACGTTTGGCACAGATGTTATGAAGTTTAGCTAGTTGTGAAGTAAACATCATCACTAATCAACTTAATAAAGTTTAGTCAAAAAGTACGTTATTTCCGATACATATCTTCCCCTTTTATTCTTCTGACCTTGCTGTACAGATTTTGGGTCAGCAGGCCGTGATTGACCTTTTCAAACACCTTAGCAATGTCAAAAATGAGGATGTCTGTCTGTTGACTGTCCTTCAGGTTTTATGATCAGGTCTTCCACAAACTCTTGTGACACAAACCGTCCCTTTCAAATATATTGTCTTCAACGAGTCGATTGGCTCCATCCTTGTCTTGTTCTATATAGGCTAGTTGACGAGGAATTTTACAAATATCAAGATCAGCAGGGGAGCAACTGTCTGATGAAATACCTTCAGAAATCTTGGTGAGATACAACTTGGCCCTGGTGACTTGCTGATGTCGAGGTTACTCAATAATGTATCGATCCCATTGAGTGTGCTTTTGATATTTTCCAGTTCTGGGTTAGTTGGAATATGACCCATTGTGTCGACTTCATCAAACTGTTACTATGTAACGTCATTTTGCTGGTCGTTGATTAAATTTGGTTCGTCGATTGTTTTTTTATCGTCTGCTATTGATATTACAAATTTTGTTCTTTAACACGGTTATATGGTCCTCAGACTTATTCATATTCTTATGAACGCGAGTCTTATGTCTGTAATTCCTCAAATCAGTCGTTTTGAGGGAAATATACATCTCCATAGAGAGCTCTATGTTTTTTTAAAACTAGCATCGACTTAATGTTGAGTAGTATTTGTTACTCTTGAAATATCATAATTTCGTAAAGAATAGTAATTTAAAATAGTAAAATATCTATTCAAAAACACTTGGATTCGAATTAAATGTACAGAACCAATTGACTTTGGGGTACGATATATACCAAATACTCACACAAAAGCAGCAGAAAAGGAAGGTTTATATTATATTATCTACTGCACACGTCCTTAAACCTCAGCTGTTTACAAGACTTTAAACCATATAAATCCTTACCAGTCTTATCCTTTTAACACTTGTCTACATGTATATAGAAAAATGTTGTACTAAAAACTTGTGTAATTTCTATCTCCACAGAGGAATATCTGGAAATGTTCTATCCCACTCCGTACTCCGCCGTACTGGGAAACAACGAGAAAACATTCAAGCGGGTCACGCCCAACAACTGTGCTCGAAAATGTCTACAGGAAAGCGAATTTGTCTGTCGCTCTTTCGACTACCAGGTATGATTACGCGCGTAACATGTGCGTTGCCTGTTGTTTAATCGAAAATCAGATAGGATCTTTGATGTGCTAAATTTATGATTGATGGATGGCTTGTTTCGGCTCAGTAGCATTTATGGCTATACAGATCAAACTGTATCAAAACCGAATTATTAAAGTCTGTAGTCTAAAATGGAATTACACAATAGTTTGGATAAATAGATTGGTGATTGAATCTCAAGCGGTTCTGTGATCGGTATCTATATATACACATATTGTGCAACTGCAGATCAACCTCCATGATATATGTAACATGTACATGGTACTTTAAACTGCTTTTCTCTACTTGAAGATCCAGGACGGCACGTGCTTACTCGGCACAAAGACCGGAAGTGATGTAGGCGGATTGATCGGTCATGGATTTGCACAAGTTCATCACTTCGAAATGAAACCGTTCTTGGGTAATTTCAGATTTCGTATTCTGTAATGATAAGAAAATGAGATAAGATAACCCAAGAGAATGATGATCAACCGTCTATTGCCTATAAATAAGCCTTGAAATCCATTCCACCGGATATATACCTACATTCAAACAAATATCAATGACGTCTACCATTGTTGATGGTCCTCAAAAACATATGATGCTAAGAAATTACTTTTGTTAATGAGTTTCATTTTAATGCCAGTTTTCTTTTTCAATCTCATCAATCCTTGGTTTGGTTTCAGATTGTGGAGGAGTGTTTTACTCATCCGAGGGCAACTTTGCCTCCCCAAACTGGCCTAGGAACTATTACCACAACATGGAGTGTTCCTGGCAAATTACGGTCCCAAAGTTTAGAGTAAGTGAGCTGCTCTCGCCCGACTTGAGGACTTGTTGGTTGTTTTGTAAGAATAGGAATCCGTTGACTATTACATACATACATGTTATAGTAAAAAACCTAGTGGAGAATGGGTATACGTTCACATGGGCACAAAGAAATAGATACCGAACATATTTTAAAACATATTTTAAGATATTGGTTTAACTTGGAGGGGCCCCTTCTAATACTAATACGTTTAAAGGTAATACCGATATGTTCATTNGATTAACAAACTTGCTGCTAAGCTTTTTTGCATGTTCTTGATTAATTTGTGATGTGGAAAATCCACTATAATGAGTATGCGTTTGCAATGTCACTGCTGATTGTTTTTATCGAATATCTGAGTATGAAGGAAAACAGAAAATCGTAAGGTAAGGAGGATAAGGAGATTCCTTCCTCTATTGTAGAATTTAGGCTCAACATCTAGATGAGAGACCCAGTTATGTTCCTAATTCTACACCCCCATTTAGAATTTCCGTATCCCCCTAACTACGCATGATGGACTCTATTAGAAATGATTCCATGTAAACGTAATGCCTACGATCACTGTTTCTTTTCAGATAATTAAATTAGAATTTTCCCACTTTGACCTTGGCCGTCACGACAGCACTGTTTGTGAGGAAGCTGACGATAAACTCGTGATCAGCGATAACGTGAATGGTGACCTTCATCGCAAGGTCATGTGCAGCGAACCGAAACAAAGCTCCTACGTCAGTTTGTCGAACAGTTTAAACGTCACATTTATATCTAATGCATTCCAGGACGCCATAGGCTTCCGAGCCTTCTTCCATACAGGTACGTTGTGCTCAGGTCTACCTATCACCAGCGTCCGTGTTATCTTGTAAGTCAGATCAGCTGCCGGACAATGTTCTACACGACTTTGTTGTATTCATGACATTCTACTAGGCTCTATTATCAACCCGTATTTTGAAGATAACAAATACTTTAAAAAAGGAACTCCCTATACACTGTTGGTATTTATACTTTGAAATCACTAATTTGGGTGATCGAAATCCACGAATCCATGTACCACAGAAATGGTGTTCTGTCGGTAAAACCACGAAAGGTTGGCCAGCACGAAAAACTCTGATTTCACAGTAGCCCTTAACAATATAAAACAACCGACATTAAGAGAAGAAAAGTAAAAAAGAATGATAAATATCCTGTCAATGTATTCAAATTGAAAACTAAACAAGTGTAGTGAATCCATTTCAACGTTATTCTATAGCATATCGTCAGAAAGAAATAGGCTGTACTAATTGGCCTATAGATGCGCACGTGACCATATTAGTCCAAACCTATGTGGTAAACTATTTCATGCACACATTGAATCTGAACTTCTCCCTTTTTTGGGGTGATTGTATTACTTTGTTTCTCCTGTAAGGTACTACCGGTTGTATTCCCTTATTGATGCAATGCAATATATTTGTTGGTGTTTATTCATAAAAAGAAATTCAGTTTATGTTAACTTTTAAACAGATTGGCCCTGTGGAGGAACCTTCACTGAGGATAACGGGATGATTTCCTCTCCAAACTGGCCAAACAATTACGCCCCTTCCCTAACTTGTAATTGGAAGATAGTAGCTCCCAAAGGAGCAAAAATATACCTCAACTTTCTCTCTATGGACTTGGAGAGACATATAAATGGACCTTGCCGGTTGGCATATGACCTCATAGAGGTTTTCGACGGAGAGTCTGACTCATCTCCGACACTTGGTATTTATTGTGGGCGACGTAACAAAAAGACAGTTACTTCATCAAATAATGTGTTGTTCATCACATTCCATACGGACGATAGGGTTCAGAGGAAGGGCTTTCACGCCGTATACAGATTCATTCATATCCCTGTGCCCACCTCTTCCATCCCATCACACATTGAACAAACTACCTCATCTCCCTCTTCCCAAGAAACAAGTGCCTCAGTAGACTCTAGCCAGGAGACCACTGGTCATTATAATGTGTCTTACAGCACAACCCCATCCTCATCTGCGTCAGAAAATAATAACTCAGTTATCGCCCTTGGTTTAGCAGCCATGTTTATAGAGCCCAGACGGCGCCCCTTACCAACGGAGAAATCGATAGGAGAAGCGCTTGTAGTCACCACAGACGCGGGTAAGTGTTCTGAAAAATGTTATAAATCATGTTTGAGTTTAGACATTATTTCATATCATGCGGTGATTAAATCACTGCTTTGACAGTTTGTTTACTCAGCAATAGGTTGGTTTGAATAATGAAATTGAAAATGTATTTGAACAAAATTTCAAGCGTTATATTGAAAATATAAAAATAGGTTATAACTCTGTTTAAGTTCTGCTGCGTAAATTCTTAAGGTTTTGACAACCAATCACATCACTTAGACGGATTCTTTCCAAATCATTTAAATTTAACGTGGTGAAATCGAGTTAGGGAAATGCAACGTGTAACATAGTATTGATAGCAAAACCCAATAGCGTGCACAGCTTGCCATCGTCTTACGATGGTGTCGGTATCTGTCTTAGATATGTGAATACTGTTTCAAATTCTTAACTAAAAACTCATTATTTTCTTGAATGCCTCATGACGTGTTCCTTCCGTAAAAAAATGGTTAAATGTTCTCGCCTTTTTTTATTGTTGAAGGAGAAAAGTTTGACGATTATGATGTCACACATGAAATCCCGGAAGTTGTGACGATAGAACCGGATCTACGTCACGTCATCCTCATCCTTGTCATCATCTTCTTCGTCCTTTTTATGACACTTCTCGTCATTTTAATAGTTGTTTGCAGACATTACAGGTAAGATGATGTTAAAGGTGGAAATATTCGTTTGTCCATTTTCATTAAGATTAACGGAAGAACTAAATACTACATGAAACGCTTGTTCTTTTGACTCACCGTTCTGGAGCACATAGTTTTGCGTCTGAACTGTTTCTGTTTAATCCTGAAATCTCTTATTTTGGTTTGATATCTCTTAAGTTTACTGTTCTTAATTTTGTGGTTACTTTCACTGGCGAGATTTTGTCCTTGTGTGTCATCGCTGTGATATATATTTTGTCCCTGTATGTCATCGGTGTGATATATTTTGTCCACATGTGTCATCGCTGTGATATATTTTGTCCCTGTATGCCATCGCTGTGATATATTTTGTCCTTGTCTTCCAATCCCATGGTATATATTTCCCATGCAAGTCGACGTTATAGTAAATTTTGTCCTTGTTGTCAACGCTATGAAACACTGTATGTTATTGTATTTACGCTATGGTTTATATTTTGTTCTTGGCTGTGGTGTTTTGTATTCCAACCCTTACACTTGGAATGTAATCTGACAGCTGAACATCTTTACTTAAAGATAAAGAAAATACACGTCTTGCCCCAACGTGTTAATTTTTCTTCTTAATATGGTCAGTGTTTGTTCGTGTAATGGCCATTTTGAGTAATTTACATCAGTCAGAAATCATTTAGCCAAACATTTTGTACGGTAAATTTTACGACATCATCAAAAAAATCTATTGCGTTTAGGTTTGTTGTATACTATCATTATAGTTCCCCCTGATAGTGAGTAGTGAGAAAAAAACCCTGAATATATTAAAAAAACGTATTTACATTCGACGGAGTTAGATCGATATATTTCCTTGTGTTCATGTTGGCACGGCTTTGTAAACTCTTTAACCAAGATGTGAGATGAGATAGGACCAACGATTACCATGGGATCAAGGCAGCTGATGGAAATATCGCCACATTAAAACTTACATGGCAACCAGGATATAACTAGCCAATGGCCACATGGAAGACAGTATCATGAAATGTCATAATTAGGGGGAAATTGATCGGATGCACACGCGTACAAGGCACGTTTTATTGTATGAAGGCTGAGTTATAGAGCAGTTTAATGGGGAACGGTCCCACCTGGCGTGTCGGAGGCACGAACTCACGACGGCCATAGCGAACACACGGCTGGTGGCATCACGCTCTACAACGTCATAATGGTCATCTTCAATTGGGCTATTTTGTATCATACCTGTCAAAACCTAATATTGCCGGTCATAAACATTATATTAGCAAAAAACTGGTCAAAATGAGTTAGGAAAAAGACGGACAACCCTGTTTGATACGTAATACTGTGAGCCTTCTGTCATATTGGTTTTCATAATGTTGATAGTTGTTTCTATAAATGGATATGTTGTCAGCACTTTCTTGGCAAGTTCTACCCTAGCAACGAAAGCGTTCTTTCTGAATCCACACTGACAATGCAAGTGTTTCCTCCTAGTTTGTATTTCATGTTTACTTGATTTCCGTATAACAGCTGATTTGAAGGAGTTTATTTCCGTGTGAGTTCAAACGTACTCTGAATTTTGCCTGATACCACGCACTAGGCTGATGGACTTATCGGTAAAGCAGGCGGAGTACGGGGACACTATAAGTCAATTTACGTCAACCGGGTAGTCACGAATAAGCTTGTATTAAGGAATGCGTCAATTCAAATTGTCTCGATATGGGATTAATATCACCCGATGTCGGACCCAACGGACGATATATGTAGATATTTTTGAATCCAAGAAGACATTCATCCGGCTATCGTCTATTTTCATCAATAAAAAATAAGAAAATTCTTGAAGATAAATGTTTGAAATACAATCTGCTGTTCTTTTGCATCAATTTTGAGTTCAGCTTGATGTCTTGAGTATTAATGATTTTGCACACAGTTTTAGTTTGTTTGTTGTTTTGCTTCTTCGCATTAGCAAAATATTGAATTGGTTTGTTTGTTTCGAGTGAACGTCTCGCGAACTCAAATGGTATGTGACGACGTTGTACACTTTTGATGAAGCCAGCGTAGTAGTTATTACATTATAATTTCATTTCTCCCTTCTTCAATGGATTTATACTTGTTTCAAATATGGCCCTGTTTACAGATCAGCGAGACAGTCTGATGACAGCCATTGCTTCGTTCATTCAATACCTCGAAATACGTCCGGGATCCATTATGTTTAATAATGCAACAAAGGGATGCTGACAAACTTCTTACTCCATGGATGCAAATATTATTTATATTCAAATTTTCTTGGTGGTAAAGTAATTAATGGCGGCTTCGTTCTGGAGCATTCCATCGCGTCACTATCAGAGAAGTGTGTCAATGCACGTACATAACGGCCATTATAAATGAATCAAATTGATCGAGAGACTACTAACTATTTTAAAATTTAAAAACTATCAAAAGAAAAAAGAAATGTTGTTCTCTGTGTATTTTTAGATTAACTTAATTGTGGATTCGATGGAACCACATTATCCTAGCAACCACGGCTACCGTAGTTACAATCATAGCAAACCGCTCCGACTATTTCTTTTTCTTACAGCTTTTTAACATATTTGGGGGTTGAAAATATTAGTATTGACCTCATGTTGGTGTGGTAAGTCCTAATGACAAAATTTATAAAATACACAATGAACAATACTATTCTTCTTGTCGTGATATCTTTTTAAGATTTAAAACAATTAATCTGAACATTTTCATTCGTTTATAATGGTTGTTATATAGCACTGCTCTTGTAGTGACATAGTCGAATAATACACAGTCAGCCGCCATGAATTACTTTATCGCCAAGGAAATTTGAATGTTCATCCATGGAATACGAAGTTGTTCAGCATCCCTTTGTTGTATATTCAAACATAAAGGATCCCGAATATATTCCATGTTTCCAGATGTTGAAGGAACCAATCAATGGCTGTCATCTGACTGCTATCTCGCTGAGTCGTGAACGGCGATATATTTGTAACAAGTGTCAACCCGCAGAGTTTTTTTTTTCACTTTCTCTGCATATACGCTGTCAAATTTAACTAAGTTGAAGACTTGAGAGATAAATATGTTTTTAATGACAATTCGAAATATTCAAATTAATAACGCATCACAGTATTTAAAATGTTCTTATCTGTGATTCCTGTGCAGAAAAAGAATTCCAAAAAGAAGAAATGTGACGAATTTTCCGTTTACAGAGGAAAGCGTATCGTTGTATGATAAAGACAAGTAAGTAACAACGTGTACGCTATTTACATAGTGATATTGTAAACATATTGGACAATTATTAACACAGTGCATACTATAAAGTGCTACTGTTAATTTACAGTGTTAACACAGCACAAGAAAAAAGTGTAAATATAGTGCACATTAGCGACGAGAGAGTGATTATAGTGTAAATATTACAGAAATGTATTGGTCCAGGAATCATCACCCCGACGACTATTGATATAATAACAATAACAGGGGGGTAGTAGGTGCAGAAGTCCCGGAATAGTAGTATCTATCTGGAGGACATGCGGTGCAGCAGACCTGCACCTGCAGGACGTTAACTCACGACTACATACCTGGCGTTGATTATATATAAAACCAATCAAGCGAGCGATGAAAAACATTCAGATACACATTCTTGTTATGTTATCATTGGCAATCATTGCTTGTGGCATTTTATTGCATTAATTCACGTCGAAACAATGTTAGATTGCATTCTTCTGATAAACTTTTGCAAATAAATATCTGCGTTCGTTCATATTGTTTAGGAAGGAATTATCGAAATGTAAATAAAAGGTAAGGCGACGATATTTTTTTCTAGTTCCAAGGCTTTTCCCACAAAAGCCCCATTTGCTTAATGTTCAAATTACGCAATCATACGAAAAGATAAGATGAACTGACCGCTGAAGCGCAGGACCTCTGGCGGCTACAGCAGTGTTTTCTACAGCACTTTAAAATATCGACGTTATTGATGTTAAACACACAGGTTTCTATATTTTCATTACAGTTTGATGTCTATCTATTTAGCTGATGTGTTTAAATGGTGTTTTTACAGTAATGCTAACGACCAGACGGATAGGGGACAGGACGGGGACTCGGACATCAATTTACCACAGCCAAGGTACAGTAGAAATATTTTTCTCCCAACCTTCACAGGTGTGTCTCCCGTTTTAGCCGGTAAAGATTAGCGTGCCACATCTTAGGGGGGATAGCCTTGTGCCGTTTAGCACTTGTTTAATTGTGACGGCATTAAAATGTGTCACCGGTAATTGTGACGTCATCAAAAGTGAATGACGATATTCATACCCCACATGTTTTTTTGTTCACAAAAATGGCAGACTACTGTCGTATATCCTCATCTATTACATGTGATATCATATGGTCTTAACAGTATATCAAATCGGTAAGCGCAGAGAGCCACACGGATTTTTTAAACTGTCCACTAACACGATATGGTCCATTGAAGCTACTCCAAGGAACATCGACAGGCGATTTCATCACCAATAAAGGCACGGAAGTATAACTTTTTAGAACAAAAGATATAGTATCCTAACTGTTACAATGGATGCAACAAATCAATTTCGTTTATCCGATGTCCCCTAGATTGACAATTTGGAAGTTATTCACCGTTTACGAAGGCAACAACATTAGTCACGTCATACGATCATGCAGTTGGATAAAGCAGGTCTGTTCATTCCCTTTATATACAAGGGTGTCATAGCTGAGCTGATACGATTTTAAGAAAACCTTTGTTGTTGTTATTTCTTTCGAAGAAGGAACTTGTCAATAACAGATTTCAGGGAATATTTGTTACAATATCAGAACAAACGTGTTTTTTATCATTGATATGTAATGAATGCATCCTTATTTTACACAGCCCATGTGATCCCCCACCGGATGTGACGTTTTGTAACCCCCTATACGAACAGAGAACATCACAGTCAGCTTCAATCCAGGAAAACACAGAAAACACAGACAGCAACTCAAGCGTTTGTTGATTGGAACAACTGTTACTGCTATTTTATGTTATGGAACAAATCTGGAACTCGAACAAATGTTCTCATATTACCTTCCTATGTCAACAAAACACTTAAACAATGCAAAAAAATAATGAAAAATCTGGACAACTGTTAATTGACGTACATGTGTACTTCACAAAAACAGTTCAGTAAACTATAATCTGTATGTGGAAATCCCACGAGACAATTTTAAACGGTAAAAAGCTATTGCCATATCATAACTATTTCTGTTTTATATTGAAAACGAAATCCTAATCAAATAAGATAAGTATGTATCTATTGTTGGATATATGTTATATATTGTTTAAAACTGAGATATGTAATTTTAAGGTATACTCTACCATTGCTGACATGCATACGTGTCGTTAGGTTAGTTCCAGTGAAGCGAGTTTTTAAGACCATGCTTCCAATGACATACATGTAACACAGTCCGCAAAGGTTAACGTCTAACACGAGCAGCTGATAACATAGACTCATTTTCTTATTTTAGACATTTGCACCAAGCGTAATCAACTCTTTGTAAATGTGTACATGACCAATTTATTTTTATACATTCATCGTCATATGGACATTATTGTGTTAGCAAGTCCGTACTAATCATACGGACACGTAATACATGAACTTGACATGCCGAATAAGAGTGTTACTATCCAATCAGATCAGATCAACAAATGTGTATTTAAGGTATTTTACGTGTGCATGCTTACTCATCGTGAAGTTAAGATTGAAGCCAAATCCGTGTTTTTATCAATTGTTTTTGCGTTGTTATAAGAAATAATGTAAGCTAAGGACATAAGGACTACAGGTATCATTTGATACCTTAAATTACCTTCCACACACAATGGCAACAATAAGCATTTTTAATTTATTTTTACCGGTGAAATAATATTGTTTATGATTAAAATAGAGTTTGACTTTCAATGTTTATTGTGAAAGATAAAAAACCATCTCGATTTTATAGTGACGTCATAATTGAAAGCCTGACAATTATTACTTGACTCGTCGTTGATCACAAATTCGTTCAATTCAATAACTTATTTCTTTTTGGTGAATTCCAGGGATGTTAAAACTGGTAAAAACGGCATATTTTTCATATCTTTCACTATCAGTGTATTCGATACACCCAATACAAAATCATAAACTTTCTCAAAAAACTGAATATTGACAACTAATGCCATTTGTTTTCATTAATGACAATATATGTTATATAAGATTTAAACTTCATTTATTTTACAACAGTTAAAAAAAATGACAGGTTATGCACAGGTTATATTCAATAAATAATGGTTTTATTAAATTAGATTGTGTATATGGTAGATCAAATTTTAAAAGATAGTTCCTCTTTTAATTTATCATCAAACTGATTTCCATTGTTTGTATAATTTATCTATGTAACAAACATGGATTTCACCTGGGCCAAACTACTGGAACGATACACTGTACCATGTTGATTGAAATGCTTGGTAACGTAATTATGTAATTTTAATTGGCACACGGCTTCCACTAGGTGTTATAAGATCGTTTTTTGTATTGTGTGAGATAATGGTTAAAGACTACTGATGTTTAAGCATACAATAAAATTGAAAAATGAAATGTATATTGGAAAATATACATTACCTTGGTATAAACATCATCCACTGATTACTCATTGTTAGAAGGTTAAAAGGGTTAAATACTATAATAAGAACTTAATACTACACTCATGATTAAATACTAGAATAGGTAATTAATACAACAAACATGATTAAATACTTCAATTTATCCTGATAACATATTTCTATCATGATTACTGTAACGAGGATTCAAAATTACAATTATGATTACATACTACAAGCATGATTACATAAAACAATTAAGATCGGATACAACAATAATGATTAAATACTTTAGTCATATTTGTATACAACAATCATGATTTAATGCTAAATTCCTTTTGAAATATAACAATGATGATTAAATGCTAAAGTCCTTTTGAAATATTACAATTATGATTAAATACTACATGATTAAATATTACAACCATTATAAATACAATCCGTTCAAAAATTGTAATCATGGTTAAATATCACAATCAGGATTGAATACTACTTTCATGATTAAATTCAACAATCGGACCAATTATTGTAACTTCTTTGTATTTTGCGTGACATTTTTACCACTTAAGTTAGCTTTCGGCATCGATCGCAAATTCCAGAATCAGATGAATAATTACACATATCAAGAAATTTTATTTACATAATGTTAAAACTTTCACGTTGAGTGAATCGATAATTAATGTCCACGGAGAACAACAAGGTGGGGTTGTGAAAATAAGGGAGCGCAGAATGTCAGTCATCAACGGCATTACGTACAAACAGATGACGGGTCTGTGTTACATAATACGGAGTGAACGATAACAGGAATGTGTCTCTTGGAACATAGTGGTAGCATACGAAGACAAGTATTACAGGCATGCTCCTGGAGGATATTTATGGTAAATTGTTTTAATTCAGTTGTAAAAATATTCATATTTGTTTTTATTATTTCAACTTGTTTGTACGGTTAAATGTTGAACTGTGAATTATGTTAGTAAAATAAATAGTATGTACATATGTGTTTCTTTGTAAAAATTAACAGGAAACAAATAAAGACTACATTTTATTATAAATTGTTGCTTCGGTTGTTTTCTTTTTACAACCATTAACTAGCTTCACGATGATGTCACGGATTTATGACGACTCTGTCTATGGCCATTATAATTGATGTTAGGACTATAAGTACATGACAACGGTGTCCATGTCATACATGGTAGAATCACAGACACATGACGACGGTGTCCTTGTCTAACATGGTGTAGAATCACAGAGACATGACGAAGGTGTCGTTGTCTAACACGATAAAATCACAGACACATGACAACTGTGTCCTTGTCTAACATGGTGTAGAATCACAGACACATGGCGACAATTTCCTAGTACAGACACACGACGACGGTGTCAATGTCTAACATGATCGAATCACAGACACATGACGAAGGAGTCCATGTCTAACATGATTGAATCCCAGACACATGACGACGGTGTCCATGTCTAACATGGTAGAATCACAGACACATGGCGACAATTTCCTTGTACAGACACACGACGACGGTGTCAATGTCTAACATGATAGAATCACAGACACATGACGGCGGTGTCCATGTCTAACATGGTAGAATCACAGCCACATGGCGACAATTTCCTTGTACAGACACACGACGACTGTGTCAATGTCTAACATGATAGAATCACAGACACATGGCGACAATTTCCTTGTACAGACACACGACGACTGTGTCAATGTCTAACATGATAGAATCACAGACACATGACGAAGGTGTCCATGTCTAACATGGTGTAGAATCGCAGACACATGACGACGGTGTCCTTGTCTAACATGATAGAATCACAGACACATGGCGACAATTTCCTAGTACAGACACACGACGACGGTGTCAATGTCTAACATTATAGAATCACAGACACATGACGACGGTGTCCATGTCATACATGATAGGATCACAAACGCATGACGACGGTGTCCTTGTCTAACATGGTAGAATCACAGACACATGACGACGATGTCCTTGTACAGACACACGAGGTGTCAATGTCTAACATGATAGAATCACAGACACATGGCGACAATTTCCTAGTACAGACACACGACGACGGTGTCAATGTCTAACATGATAGAATCACAGACACATGGCGACAATTTCCTAGTACAGACACACGACGACGGTGTCAATGTCTAACATGATAGAATCACAGACACATGACAACGTGTCCATGTCTAACAAGATAGAATTACAGATACATGACCACGGTGTCCATGTCTAACATGATAGAATCACAAACACATCCCCACGCTGTCCATGTCTAACATGATAGAATCACAAACACATGACCACGGTGTCCTTGTCTAACATGGTAGAATCACAGACACATGGCGACAATTTCCTTGTACAGACACACGACGACTGTGTCAATGTCTAACATGATAGAATCACAGACACATGACGACGGTGTCCATGTCTAACATGATAGAATCACAAACACATGACCACGGTGTCCATGTCTAACATGATAGAATCACAA